CAGGACCATACTGAGTACTTCTCAAATTGGATACGAGACCTCCTGGGAATGTGGTCACTGTATGAGTCAGAGTGGTGAGGTGGGTTACTGGTTAGACTGCTAAGCATGAGGTCAGCAGTTCAAATCCACTAAGATGATTCTATCTGCTCCTGTTAAGATCTACACCCTCAGAAAAGTTGCATACTGTCTCTATGAGACAGAACCAACTCCATGATAGTGGTTTTATTTTGAGGTTCTAGTCTGACTATCCCTGGAGTTTGATTACCTGAGAGGCCCCTAAGAAACCTTTCTACGGTTAAAAATCTCCTTGTGTTGTTGAAGGTGGGGAAGGCAAGAGGTTACTGTTTTCTGTTTTCTCCCTCTATTGCTCTTAGGAAAGCCAGAGTGACTGGCCTTATGGATAGAGGTCCAGCTGCTTGCGGCCAGATGGACAGGACATGGAGATTTCGATGAAATAAATGTTGACTGAGGTATGGCAAGATGCCACCTCCATTGGTAGTGATGCCATGGGCCTGGACTTGGGAAGCATAGTCAGTTTGGATTGTGATGGGCAGTTTATTAGTGAGAGAAAGTGTTGACAAAATTCTTAGCTTGAGATCTATAGCTTATGCATCAATGGCGCTGTAACATGTATCCCACTAAAATCACTGTAGTCCCCACCACGTAGTGGCAGATTGGCTTAAGATTGAGCTGCTGGACACAAGATAGCACTTGGAAACCACCAAACACTTCTTGGGAGAAAGATGAGGCTTTCCACTCCCGTAAGACTTGGTCTGAGCCACAGCTCTATTGTGTCCTGTAAGGCCATGATGAGTTGGAATCGACTCGATGGCAGTGCAGGAGGGTTAACTGAGCACCAGTTGTGCTCTCCAATAGGCTGCCAACCTTCTGAAGAGTTATTTTAACAGATGAGCTACCATTTGAGGAAGTAGCTAAGGTCAGCCTCACCACTCTGGGAGTGGAAGGTCAACCTAAAGGTATGGAGAGAATGGAGAAAGGATTCCTTCCTCTCCTGCTTCAAGGTTTCCCACCATGACTTTCTATCTTCAAAGTTACCACGGTGACTAACATGGGAACACAGGAACACTCTCAAGGCTAGAGCAGATAAGGAAGACAGTAGGCAAACCACACAATTTACCAAGACGGTGCTACACCCAACAGGGTCTCAGCAGGACTTGCCCGAAGCAACCCTTTCCGTCCCTGGAGAAATGTGTGCTCGGGTTCTACTCTGGTCGCTGTTTGTGCAGCTCGCCGAGAGAATTTCACATTCTCCTGAAAGGAGGTCATGTCCTTCTCCGGGTGTCACCTGAGGATTGTTAACTTGTCTAGAAATTTAGAACATCTACCAACAACGTCTTGCAGCAGCAATGGAGGGAAGATAGAAGCTTGCTTAGATCTTTGTGGCTGATGAGAAGTATACTAAAATGTGCACTGCCACTGTGAAATTTAATACCAGGGGGCTTTATAAGCTTGTGGTAAACATCATTCAAAGATAAAGGAAGGTGTCCACAAACTCCTTGTATGTTTACATAAAAAAAAATGTCATTGAGTTCAAGTCAATTGTGACTTGTCGACTCCACAGGACAAGGAAGCAGTGTTGCTGTGGGTTTCTGAGGCTGTAAAGCTTTACAGGGGCCCATCGCCGTTTCTTTTTCTCTTGGAATAGGCTGGGAGGTTTGAACTGCTTACCTCGTGGTTAGTAGTCCTATGTGTAACCCATCTACTCAAAAACCAGGCATCAGTAGTTCCATAAGGGAACACTTCCCTGAATCAAAATGCATGGACATTTTATTTGATTCCTAATGATCTTGCTACAAATCAGAATACATCAGCTCTTGTCACAGCAAAGGTCTTTACCTGGGGAGACAGCATTTTTTAAATGTCGGAAATACCATTGTACGTTTACAAAAATCAAGTTTCAAGTAATGCTAAGTAATGCTCACACGGATCGTCTCTTCCATCCACCCTTACAAGATGAGTATGTATTAGTCATCTTTTTCTAGTTTTTTTTTTTTTAAACATTTTATTAGGGGCTCATACAACTGTTACTGCAATCCATACACACATCAATTGTGTAAAGCGCATTTGTACATCCTTCTCATACATCATTCTCAAAACATTTTCTCTCCACTTAAACCCCCGACATTAGGTCCTCATTTTTCCCCTCCCTCCCCGCTCCCCACTCCCTCATGAGCCCTTGATAGTTTATACATTGGTATTTTGTCATATCTTGCCCTGTCCGACGTCTCCCTTCACCCACTTTTCAGTTGTCTGTCCCCCAGGGAGGAGGTCACATATAGATCCTTGTCATCGGTTCCCTCTTTCCTACCCATTCAAGATCCTTAATACTAAATATTTAAGATGTTTTTGCTAATCAAATAGGGTGAGTGATGTCCATGATAGGAGGCAGGGGACTCAAACCTTTCTTTGTTGATTAAATTTCCACACTAACAAGCTGGAAACAGAAACTTTGTTCCCCTGGCTGATCATTGTCGGTTTCTATTTAGGAAGACTCTCCCTCTTAATTAAAATCATTGACCCTTGTTTAAGAGTCAAGAATTGCTAACCGGTGGTGGTTTCTTCTTAAAAGCCCTTTAAGCGGTGGTTCTCGACCTCCCTAAGGCCGCAACCCTTTCATAGTTCCCCATGTTGTGGTGACCCCCAACCATACAATTATTGTTCTTGCTACTTCATCACTGTGATTTTGCTACTGTAATGAATTGGGCAACCTGGTGAAAGGGTCATTCGACCCACACAACGGGGTCATGACCCACAGGTTGAGAACCGCTGCGTTTAAGCATTTAGTATTTGATACACTTAGACTTGTTCATCATGAAAATAACTCGTTTGTATCTCGGATTCTCAAGGCAAAGTCTATGTACAAAGTTAAGTAAAAAATGATTGTGACAATGGCTCTAGTTTATATGCAAATGTGTTTCAATACCTGTGGCCAGTGGATGCCTACCAAGAAGTTCTCGGTAATACACTAGTTGTAGTCTAAGAAAGTGCCTTCAAAAAAGGTCTCCTTCCAACTGTGGCTTTCCAATGGATCTGTTGAGACATAGGTCAGCTTAGAATTCCCAATGGCCATTTCCTAATGCACATACTCAGTGTCCCAGGGTAGAAAGCACTGTCCCAGGAAAACTGTTGGGAAACCTTACCACATCCAACCCTCATCTTGCCCCTTCCGACGGTTTTCCTCTTTCTCCCAATTCAGAGAACATTTCAAAGAAACTCAGTCGGAGTCTCTCAGAGCTGCCCAGACTGCCTTTTGACATGTGTGCAGAATCCTGAGGGAGGGCCTGGAGAGGAGAGATCGGGCCGATGTGTATGGATCCAGAGCAAGGGCATGCCAAAGAACAGTCGCTTCATTTTGATACTTTTAATAAAAGATTTAGTGGAAATTATTTTCACCTTACTCTCATGCATGACAAACTGACATTTTCCACCATTTTAATAAGACAGATCGGCTGGAAGTACATGAACCCTCGCCACTTCGCGCTTCGACTTCGAGGCTTCACTCTTATCGCGGTTTTTGCATAACAGCGCATGCTCTGTCATTACTGCCACTGATTGGCTCATACTGTACACGCTT